TAAAAATTGAGACTATTTAGTTAAAAAATTTTTATTCTGATATATACAAGTTGTTTGGGCTTTTCATTCAAAAAATTGCGACATAATTTTTTGACTACCTAATACTTCTCTAATTCAGGCCTAAACATCTAACCCTAAATAAACCTAAAGTTAAATGGTGTAAACATGAAAAAGAGTAAGAAACTCAAACAGCAGCAGTATCTTTATTCTCCACATTTTAACTGGATATTTTATTACTGAATACTGTACATTTTGATTATTATGGGAAACGAGCAAAAATGTTGAACATTCTATTTACTCTCTTTGACTGATAGAATTTTGCTGTGGTGAGAGTTTTTTCAAACTTACCTATTTATAATAGCTACTGCAGTAATGATATACGGTTTATTCTGTAAAATATTTTTATTTTTCAATAAATGGGAAAGTTTAACATGAATTTAGTTTGCTTTTGGACAACTAATACTAGGTTACCATACCTAGTTTGTTCTGGATCAGTCAACTCGTTTAGGAGGAGATACGTCCGTCTACAGATAGACAACGTTTTCCTTGATACTGGATACTTACCGCACCAGTATGGAATAAGACCAATTAAACTAAAGTTCAAAATGCAAGAAGATAAAGCAGGAAGCGTAATTAATATATGGCTACGCTACACTAAGTCGTAGATAGGAAATGTAATGTAAAATACCAACCAGTAAGTCCGTAGGATTCATATACAACTTATAAAACTTAAAAGTTAAATAAGTTCGACAATAATACTAACAGGTATATTGGTATTATTAAACACTCCTCCGTAAAACTAAAAGTTAGTTACACTTACAAGTTGCACTCAAGATAAACGTGGACTTACCATGATAAAATGATAAACTTCTATGGTCACTAAATTACCGCCAAGTTCAACTAAATAAATTTAAAATACTTGGTACAACTAATAGTAATACCGCTATATCAGTATACTAAAACCATACCGTCACATACATCGTAACGTGGAGTCAGCAGTAAATTTTGATTTTAACTCCGTAAGTTAGAAAATACTCACTTACCTATTTTACATCAACTACCGTGACCCACGTAGCATATCGTTCTCTGCTTGTGATGAAATTCTGAAATGCCAACATCACCTAGGAGTTACACATTCGGTCGCATGTTCGGAAAGCAAAACAAAATGAATTTAGTAAATCCAACCTTAATTTTGTTATCACAGATTACTTTGTGAGTAATTCCAACACACCACTGTATTCATCAAACTAATTAATTTAACAAAAAATATTATGTATTTACTTAGAACATTTGAGGAATCATTATTTAATTCTGAACAAATAATATGAGTTCATTTATTATTGAAGTTTTTATTTTTTCTATTTTGAATGCTGCGTTTTTTATCGCGTCCTGTTTTTGTTGTTGAAAGTTTAGAAAATATGTTTATGACACTGCATTATTATTTTTTTTCATATTA